TCAAATTCTCATTTTAGTTGGTGTTTAAAAGTTAGATTCATCTGACTTTATTTTTATCTGTGAGAACTGAAATTTGTGTTACTATTGGCAACCATTACATGCTTTGTTGAGCATCATAGACTGAATTTTATGTTATTTCATGTGGCACACTGACATACCAAGTTGTCTTATAGTAGTTGTATTGTGGAGGGACTTTCTCTTTCCAGGCTGAGATACAATCTGAGCTAAAAGTAATTAAACTTTCTCGATGCATTTTATTAACAATTTATAGTTGTTTATTATCTATAAATTATATTTGATAAACTATAAATTATCTTTCAAGATAATATTCCTAGACAGTCAGTGCTTGCCAACAAAGCCACATGCATAACCAACATTTGTTTCCTCTCATATTTATGTGGAAATAGACAATATTAACTGTTTGTGACTGTGATATTTTTAGAAAAGAGCATTTAATGTCACAGAAATGTGTGTATTCGTTATTAAAACCAATGTTTTCTGAGGAATGAATAGAGTGATTTTTTTCCCCAAGACAAACTCATAATAAATAACTATGTGTTTCTAAATAAGCAGAACTTTTTTCCTTAGATCTCAGACCTGGGAGAGCTGACCCCTGAAGGGAGGCAAGGCTGGAGGGAAAGCAGCCAGAATAGTTTCTCAGGCCCTAGTTTTAGGACCACAGATGGAGAAGGTGCTGGTACCTTCTGGTAATCATGAGGTAGTTTGGTTCTATAGAGAGTTGATGAGGATGGCACAGGATAGAGCAGTGTTCAGATCTGTTGTTCATAGGTCCTCTATGAATCATAGTCAACACAACGACATCTGAGTACAACAACAATAAAACTAGAATACACCATAGAAAACCACAGAAAGTCACAGTTGAAAGAGACCTCGAAGCTTATCACTTTCAACTCACCAAAAATGCTTCTAATCTTACTTACACAGGGATTCCCTCATGACATAGTGGATTGTGTGTTTGACTACTTACTTAAAGGTCAGTCATCCTTAGTAGCTCTCCTGGAGGAAAAAGAGATGGTCTGCTCCCGTTAAGACTTAGTCTTGGAAACTGAATGGAGTGTTACCGTAAGTTTGAATCAATTTCACAATAGAAGATACTGACGCAAGAGCCCTGGAAGCTCAGCAGTTAAGTGCTCAGCTCCTAACGTCTCCTACTCATGAGCTGCTCTGTAAGGGAAGGCTGTGGCAGTGTACTTTTTGTATAGCATCGGGAACCCTATGAGCCAGTGCTTTTGAGCCAGTTCCAAGTCATTGTTGTTTGTTTCCGTTAATGTGCCATTCAGTTGCTTGGACTCATAGCGACCCTTTGGACAACAGCTCAGAACCTTGCGCTATCTTGAGACAATCTCATTGTCTCCGACACACTACCCTCATTACCCCAGTCACTGAGTCAATCCATCTCATCCAAGGTCTTCCTCTCCTGCTCTGTCCCTCCACCCTCCCAAGCTTGATGTCCTCCAAAAACATGTGCCTCCGGATAACATGCCCAAAGTGTATCAGATGGAACTCAAAATCCTAGCCTCCAAGGAGCAGCTTAGTTTACTCTCTCCAGGATAGACTTGTTGTCTCTTAGCAGTCCATGGTATATTCAATACTCTTCTTCAGCACCACAACTCAAAGGCATCGATTCTTCTTTTATCTTTAGTTATTGTCCAGCTCTCTGATGCATAGCAAGTAATTTTGAAGACCTTGACTTGGATCAGACACACCGTACTCTCTAGACTGACATTGTTGCTCTTCAGTAATACTCTGAAAATGTCCCTTTCTAAATATGTACATTGTAATGGGAAAGACTATCTTTCTACCAGCGTGCCATTGGAGGATTCAAATTGGAGTCTTGTAGCTTTTCGGTTAGTAGCAGAACACTCTATACAATATTCCACCAGAACTCCCTGTTTAGATATATGATAAATAGTAATTAATGTATATTGAAGCCAATAAATAAACAGTAAACCTTTTAATGTGGTGATTCTTCTTAATTCCTTTTAAACCACCTTTAAAATGCTGTCCATTTCATGGAATTTTTTAGCAGATTTTAGTTTGTTAATTTGCATGGATAGCTTAACTATTGAGTTAATTTCTATACAATGATGATCTATAGAAAATAATTTATGTTGTGGTTTTTTATTATAATATTTGAAATATTGGAAAAAATATCAAGTTGTATGTGTGTCCTCTATTTTAACTTTCAAGATTTGTGTTTTCTATTTGCCTAATGGTTATTGTTGTTATGTGCCATTGAGTTGCCAGTGAATCATAGCAATCCTATGTAGAGTAGCTCTGAACCTTGCTCTATCTTGAGCCAATCTCATTGTCTCTGACACACTAATCTCCATTACCCTAGTCACTGAGTCAGTCCATCTCATCCAAGGTCTTCCTCTCCTGCTCTGTCCCTCTACCCACTCAAACATGGTGTCCTTCTTCAAGGCTAACATGCCCGAAGTATGTCAAATGGAGTTTGAAAATCCTAGCCTCCAAAGAGCATCTTGGTTTCACCCTTTCTAGGTCAGACCTGTTCTCTTGGCAGTCCATGGTATGTTCAATACTCTTTTCCAGCACAACTCAAAGGCATTGATTCTCCTTCTATCATCCTTAGTCATTGTCCAGCTCTCTAACACTTAAGCAAGTAATTGCAAAGACCCTGATCACGTCAAGCACACCTTAGTACCCAGACTGACATCATTGCTTCACAGTACTCTGGAGAGGTTCCTGACAGCAGATTTTTCTAATGCAATTTTTGTTCTGATTTTCTAACTTCTGGTGCTGAAAGTGTTGATTGCGGAACCAAGCAATCTGAAATTGCTGACAATCTCAATCTTCGCTGTCATGGTGCTGCTAATTCACTCAGTGGTGAGAATCTTTGTTTTCTTGATGTTGAGCTTCACTCCATATTAAAGACTGCAGTTCTTTCTGCAGAGAATGCCTCAGGTCCTCCTCAGTTTTCAGCAAGCAAGGCTGTGTCATCTGCATAACACAGGTTGTTGATGAGTCTTCCTCCAATCCTAATGCCACATTTCCCCTCATAAATTATAGTCTCCCTAATGATCTGTTCGAGGGAGCTCTGGTTGCCTAGTGGCAAAAAGCTGCACTACAATCCCAGAGGTACATGGTTCAAATCCACCGGATGCTCTGCTAGAGAAGGAGGGGCAATCTCCTCCTGTCCCAGTCAGATCCCATTTGACTGTACAACAACAACAATGATCTGTTCTGCATATAGATTGAAAAGGTATGGCGGCGATAGGATGCATCCCTGACACACAACTTGCCTGATCTTGAACCATCTAGTGTTTGCTTGCTCTGTTCTGACGACTGCTTCCTGATCCAATATAGGGTTCACATGAGCATAATTTTTATGGGGTTCCTGTTCATCTCAAGGTTAGTCATAATTTATTGCGGTTGATAGTATTTAAAAAAATACGACCTTGAAAGAGCAAAGTTTTTAATCTCTCTGTAGTACCAAATATTATCATTTCAAAGCTCACGTACCTGTTTGTGTTCAGCTGTACGAACTTGACATTTACAATGTAAGAACTTTGACAGAGCTGTTGAGTGACTCTAATGCAAAGCAGATCTCTTAGCTAATTAAAAAGTATACCTTGCATTATTTTCACCGTCTGCATATCTTAATCATACAATTCAAGAAACAAACTTATTGCTATTGAATGGGAACCAACTTGCAGGTGACCCTCCAGTGGGTTTTCTGGGGCTGTAAATAAAAAAAGAGATGATTTCTCCTCCCTCTCGGGAAGTGAAGCTGTTGGTTTTGCATTGTCAGGCATGCCTTTGGGTGAGCAGCACAACTCCCTACAAACACCTCCACCAGAGCTTACGCATAAAAGGTCATTAAAAATGAAATCCTTTTTAGCTTTGTCAACCGTTACCTTAGAAAGAAATGAAAGTATAGACATTTTCTAGAATAAAAAGATATTAAAAATATTAGAAACAACCTAATTTTCAGCAACAGGGGCATACTTAAACAAATTACAACCCTTTACAAAAACTATTATGAGATCATTTCACTTGAATATTTAGATACAATATGACAAATATAATATTTTAGAATGAAGCTCATAGATCTCTTTCACACAAATCAGTGGAGCATAGGTATAGCTTAACATAGTCTTTACTTAAATGTGTTCACCCTTGCTTAATGGTTTTTGAAATAAAATTGAGGCAGAAAAGAGCATGTTTAGATTGTCCTGGTTGTAATTTATTTTGTCTCTTGAGCATATTAGACAATGGGAGCTGGACTCTAGTGAGAACTAGAAGGCATAGTAATGGACTGGGCCCGATGGGTGCATCACTCCTATTTAGGGTTTCAGCAACAATTAAAAACAAAAAAGAAGGAGGGGAGAGAAAAATATAGCTATGGAATAATGTCAAGTGTAATGTCTTCCTTCTATATTTCCCATTATATTAATCTGATGCCTCTGTATGAATATTTTTCATACCCTACTTACTCAGTTCTCTTAGTATGTTCTTTTTCTTATCTACGTTTTTGAAATCTCCTCGAATAGAAAATGATCTGTCTGCAACTACTTAGCCAAGAAGATCCTTGTTTTTAACTTAATTTCCCTACTATTTGTATTTGGAAGGAAAGTGAAATCCCTTGAAAGAACAAGTCAGCTACTTAAGGTATTGGACCTTTGCAGCTTTATTTTCTCAGATTGTAATTTTCTCCTTTGGCCATCTGGTGTTTTCATTTTTGACTTCTACTTCTAATTAGCTGTTGTTGATTCTAAAACTCATCCTACTTCCTGGTCCCAGAAGCTCCAATAATGCGAGAAAACAAAAACACTTAAAAATGTTCAGAAGGTTTGCTTGGTAAAAGAATGTTGAGTTAGAATGTTCCATTTGGACTAGAAAAATTCTCCAAGGTGCCTCCAAGGACTGGGAAAAGTATTACAATGGTGAAGGCCCAGAATGTGCTCTTTTGTATTTAGCTCAGTGTGTTCTTCTTTCTTTTTTTTCTTTTCATGCAGCTGGAATGCTTGCTGACTCCCCTGCAAATTTCTAAGGCCAGCACCCCCCCCCTCCCCGGAAGCCAGCTGAAGAATGCCGTCAGAACGCTGCCTCAGGTATATTCTGCAGGATGCATCCTTGCTTGGTTTTGAGTCCGGAAGTAACTACACTGTGCATTCCTGTATGCAGGGCAGAGCAGAGCAGAGTGGAGCCAAATCAAACATTTGAATGACTTTAACAAACTAAAAAGAGCTACTCCGGATTGGTAGTTCATGAACTAAGTGCTATGACCTAGTTACTGGTCAAGCCCAGAAACATTTCATGTTTTTATGAATGAAACTACTTTCCTCCTACCTTCTTCTAATTTAAGAGGTTACCTTCTTTCTTACAAAAGGCACATTCTTAAGTAGTTACAGGATTCAGATATAAATCAGAAAGCCATACAATGTATTTGGATATTACCCCCTTAATGCAGTAGCGTATAATCAGAGTGCTCCTGATTTTTTCTTTTAATTGTTGTTGTTGTTGTTGGTAGGTGCTGTCCAGTTGAGTAAGACTCATACCAATCCTATGAACAAAAAATCTGAACCCTGTTCTATCCTATGCCTTCCTCACACTTCCTGACACACAAGAGCCCACTGTGGCGGTCACTGTGTCAAGAGGGTTTTCCTCTTCTTCGCTGACCCTCCACTCTTCCCAGCATCATGTTCCTCTTCAAGGAATAACCCCTCCTAACAACCTGCCCAAAGTATGTGAGGTGAAGTCTCATCATTCTTGCCTCCAGAGTGCATTTCAGCCACACCCTTTCCAAGGAGTATCTGTTTGTTCTCCTGGCCTTCCATGGGATATTCAGTCTCTTCTCCAACACCACAGCTCAAAGGTGTCAATTCTTTTCCTGTCATCATTACTCATTGTCCAACTCTCATGTGCATGTCAAGTGATTGGAAAGATGAGAGCCAGAATCAGATGCACCTTCGTCCTTAAACTGACATCATTCCTCTTCAATAATTTGGAGATATCTCTGACTTCAGACTTTCCCAGTGTAACTCCTGTCTCCTGACTGCTGGTACCAAGTGTATTAATTATGTATTCAAGTAAAGTAGAGTCATTGACAGTCTCAATCCTTTCTCCATCCATCTAGGCCCTCATAAAGCATCTATTCTATGTAGGAAGCAGTAAATAAATAATCACTCCAGTAAGAATGCAGGAACATGCTGGCAAGTGCTTTGAAAGCAAAGTACAAGTTAGATATTGTGAAGAAGAGCCTTCCTGAGGACATGCTCTACAGCCCAAGAGTTGAGGGAAATGGTGACCCTAGGGAGCTTGGGTAGCCTAGTGGCAAGAAGCGTTGCTGCAAATCCTGAAGGCATGGGGTTTGAGGCCCCCAGCTGCTCCATGGTAGAAGGATGGGAAATCTCGTCCTCAATGATTAACTGCCTCTGAAAACCCACTGGAGGGTCAACTAGAAGTTGGTTCTGACCCACGGTATCCAACAACAACAACAACACAAAGGCCATGAGACAGGAAGGAGTGGCAAATCCCAAAAACTGAGGGGCATCCAGTGAAAAAAATACAGGGAATTTATTTGCATGTCCACAACAGAAATAAATATTCATCATCCTCTGAGGGTGGATTTGTTTTGTCAGAAGACTTTCAGACCTAAAAATGAGAGCAGCAGCAATCCTGGAGATCCTTGCTAGGAGAACAAGCAGGTTCATTCTGGAGAG